CTGTGGTCAATTTTCAAACTTTAGCGGTAGAAAATTCAACTTTATCAATGTGAAGGTAATCCGAAAAATAAACGTTATTTCTATTTTAGGGTTAGTTGTTTACATTATAAAGAAATATCATCAGTGTACTCTTATCGGTTCCTAAGATTCATTAATTTAAAGTTAATAATCTGTGTGTTGTAGTATTTCCATTTTAAGATAGACGGATTTGTGCGAGTTTTTTTTTGTTATTTGCTAAATACCTATCCAATAGTGAGTTTAGTAAAAAATGGTGATAATTAGTGAAGGTCAGTATATTCTATTTTCATATTAACAATTTAAAATCGGGCAGATTTTCATATCATAAATAAATAGGGAATTTGACTACCGTTTTTATACATATTTAGCAGACAAAAAGGAACATACGTTTTTAGGAACTAATTAGAAATAAAAACTTTTGTTATTTGGTCATAGGCTGAAGTGTTACCTATTCAAAAATATCAGTTTTATTTGCAGAAATTTGCAGTTTCATTGGATTTTTTCAATTTTTTAGGCAATGGAAGTGCTATCAAAAACATGGAATTATTTGAATTATTATCAAAAAATCCTCCGATGAAGCAATTCGCTCTATTTGTGTTTATTTGTTGTACTCCTTATTTTGTAGTACCTAGAGACTAATAAAACACCGATTTTATCGATAAAACGCGTTGCATTTTCGTACTCGTAACACCCGAAACAGAACCATTGTAACACCCGAAACAAAGAAAAAAATTATAAAAAAATAGTAAAACGTTTTATGTAACAGTGATTGTATGTTACATGGTTTGCAAATTTCATACTTTAGAAGTCCTGTAAGTTTTAGGTATGATTCCTTAAGAAAATTCGCTAAATTTCGAGTAAATGCAGCAACAGTCAGAACATAGAGGCAAAATCTCGTAACGCCCGAAACGCACACTTTTCGACTCATATTTTCGTTATCCTACATTCTAAGCTGCACAAACTTTATTATTTAGATAAAACAACTAAAAACGGACAGATTAAGGCACTAATATTATTAAAATACTATTTCAAAATACAAGAAATTGTTGAATATGTGTGTACGAACGTAACACCCGAAACGATGGAATGACCCTACCCCTAAATTCTTAAAATTGACCACTGTGCGGCGTGTACCACCATCACTACTGAAAATCGGAACCACAACATTAATATGACCGTGGCTAGAGGTCAACTTATCATCACCCCAATCTTAATGGTTGCTTTAATTAAAAGTAGAAGCAATTACTTTTCAAATACACACTTACCTACTACTATTTATGAGCTGATAAGTAGTAAGTAAGCATGTATTTTTAAATTTTACAAAGTGGTGGTGGGTGGTATAGGTAACCAAAAATTTTATCTGGAGGAAACTATATTGTGTCACTAAATAGCTGTGGTTTATATTGATAAAAAGATTTTGTTAATAACTGTAATTGGTTATAACATTAATTTAAATACCCAAATATGTGTAGTGTAGCTTTCCTATTGGATGCCGATTGCAGATAATTAACTGGTTTCCGATTAAAATTACAATAATAATCTATACTAATATTATAAATGCGAAAGTAGCTCTGTCTGTCTGTCTCTCTTTCACGCCTAAACCACTGAACCGATTTTGATGAAATTTGGCATAGAGATAGTTAGAGTCTCGGGAAAGGACAAAGGATAGTTTTTAACCCGGTTTTTGAAACAGGGACGCGCGCGATAAAGTTTTTCTGTGACAGACAAAATTCCACGCGGGCGAAGCCGCGGACGGAAAGATAGTATAAAATATTTGTTTGTATGAAAAATGGATATAAGATCGTAGCCTGGCTTGCGTAATCTGGGATATTAATAGGTGTGCACCTGTACCAGCAGCTGACCGTAAAATAATATTTGTGACAAATTGATTTACTCACGGGTTGTGATGATTTATAATCTGGCACCGTAGCTATATTCACATAATTTGTTTCACAACAATTTAGAAAATAAAATCATCATGATTCAACAAAGAATAATCTAAAATCTAAAGTAATGCTAGTTAGTTACCAACAATCTACAAATTGATTACAGGATAAATGAGTGCTATAAACATGTGAATGGATCTTTATCAGTTGTGAATGATTTGTTTTCTTCCATGAAAAATAAATAAGACATTATAAATCTTTGGATTTATCCTTGTAAAACTAACAATAAGGCTGAGTTGCACCAAACTTTGACCGTAATTATAACGATAACCAGTGATTTTTGTATGGAGTTTGACAGATTTTTGATGTTTGTTATAGTCAAAGTAAGATCTAGTGTAACCCAGCCTAAATATTTGGTAAAAATTAACACTCAGTCAAAAGTTACAGACAATTTTCTACTTCAAAAATTCACCTGCTAATGATTTTAGATTGAAACTTTATTATTGCTTTTAAAAAGTTCATAATAAGCATTAAAAACGTCAAATATTAACCTTGGTGGCTAAATATTTTCTATTTAACATCAACAAACAAAACAAACTAAAAGGTTGGCTCACTCCACTTGTTTTTACAATCACTGATACTTAAATGAAGGTTAAACACACCTTCAAAATTTAAATCAAAAATAAAGGTCAACAGAAATATTACCAAATTCAAATTTTTGAATAGGTGGAGCAAAGAAGTAGATGTTTGGTATTTTTTGTCGATAACTCACAAGATGAGGTCATTGTATGATTAAAAATTTATCAAATAACTACCTAAAATTACGTAAAAAATATGGGGACTGCAATTTTGAGAGGAGATAAGTATGTAGGCAAGTTCGATTGTAACAATGTTATAAAAGAGCTTTTATAAAATGATTTTGGGTTATTGACCCATATCCCTTACATGTTAATCAGTTGGTTATCATAAATATTACAAAGTAACATGTAACATAATAGTGTCAATGAAAGGCAAGGGCTTTTATTCTTTGTAGAGAACTGTTCATTCAAGCAAGACTATGGATGCCTTTAATGGCCAGAACAAATACAATTTTTTGCGTTGTTTTTGGACCTCAAGACAAGGGAACAAAGTTTAAAATATGGTGGGAACTATATTCCTACCACCATATAAAGGGTTAAGTGTTAAATAAGTGACGATAATCAGCTAAAATAATACTTCAAAAAATACATCCTCATTTATTTAACACAAGAATAATAACCGTGTGTCTAGCAAACATTGACCTATGTGTTTGCTATTAGCATTCGACTAAAACCGATTAAAATAATTACCTATTCTGAATAAACATTTTTAAGAATGTTTTGAGGTCAGAGCAGGCATATTTAAATACCGATTACAGTGCAAATGCACTGAAACTAACTTAAATTTTCAGTACAATGAATTCATTATTTCGATAAGAAAGAAATAGTATCAATATTGGCTGTGAATCTTACAATGTCATTGTCAGAAGTAAATAATTTGTTTTATGAAAGTGTGACTTCTATGAATATGAACTGCTTCATGAAACTTTCACATCTATTTTGAAATGAACCCCTTTAAAAGCAATGTCAAATTCTAACCAGGACACCAGCAAGATTGAAAATTGAATTCTAACAGAACGAAATACGTGATTATTTTCGGTTTAGGGCAATGCAGAGATCCGTGTCGAAACCGCGTTGGGCAACTAAATGTCAATCTGCCGAGCGATATGTCGCAATGTAAGCGGGTACGTACCTAGGCAGCAGATGAGGAACTTGAGGAATGTGAAGAAGAAAGCGTTGTAGAAGTTCGAATCGTAATACGTCCCGTCAACATCGTTCAGCAGGTCGATGTGGTCCACCGTGATGTTGCTCAGGATCGACACCTCCTCGCCGCTCGTCACCGGCAGCCCCAGGCTGATCTTCAGGAACTCATCCACCACAAACAGAGGCGGCACTCGCAGAAGCACCTCCACTAGAGCCAGCGCCTTCGACCTCAACGACATAATTCATTTATGCTACCCTTTGCACACGTTAGCACACACAATTTGATGACCACAGCCGAAACGACGGACGGCCGGCGTTCACCCCCGGACTGTATTTTAGACCAATTTTGTTTTTTTTACGGGCTATTTGTAATCACGTAATAAAATACGAAAATAATGACTGAAATTTTTGCGACAATAAAAATTTGACATTACAAATTTCGATGTTGCCAGACTTAGAATTGTTGCCATGATCAAAAAATCATTTTCTACTAATGGTTAGGATGCGTTCATTAATTTAAAATTGTTTGCACAAAAACTACCAATATCATCTTTTTAAAAAGATTTCATAGCTTCGTGAGAAATGGAGACGATATTGATCAGTTTAGATCTGGTTACGTGACCATAACCAGATAACAAAATCATAATACGTGTATGATTCGATTTCGATTGTAGCCTCAATATTTAGTTCGCTTGAATTAATACGAGTATAACAATATTTGATTTTGACCATATCCGTTTGCGATAAGTTTGCCGCTGGCGATATGACGTCACTCGAAGTGAAGCGTCTTTACTTAACTATAGCAAACTATTTAAAAATATTTTTTATTTATTATAATATTGATAAAAAATGTGTATTTGCGTAAAATAAGACACATTAATTTCGTTTAATCACTAACTAATTGCGTTTAATCGCGGTTGGGAGAGGGGACGCGCATTCCACGGACCGGCAAACTTAGCGCGAACGGGTAGTACAACTTTTTGTATCAATATGGGGCTCACGAAAGACAAACATAGCGTAGAACGATTAGGAAATTTAGGTAAGTACCTACTTGCTCGATGGCTGAAATAATGACTATGATGATGATCAGGATGAGCTTTGGAAAATCACCTTCGATTATAATTAACTTAGAGCACGGGTTTTTTTTTGGCAGACCTAAGTACTTTGAGGCCATAAAATATAAACAAGTCCATTAATAGTTTAGTTTAGTATACATACAGTATAAGTAGGTAGGTACATCCTGGGGGGTTTGTAGGGCCCCGCCGCACGGTGGGCCAGAAATCGACCTCCCCTTTCATAGGATTTTTTTTTAAAAAAATTTAGTTTTTAGCACTTTAAAGTATGCAGGTGTTTTGAATACATTATAACATTAAATTAAATAGTATTCACGGGCCTCGTCTCGTCTTGTACACCACGTAATGTGTCATTTTGTGTTTCAAATGTATGAAAATGAAAACTAATTACCTTATAACTTTTTCCGGTCTTGCTCGGTCAGGCTGAAACTTTCAGGTATTGTTACCGAGTCCTTAACAAAGCTATGTGATATTTTACCTCGATCCCGAACGGTCCCGATCAGAAGTTATGAATCAAAACTTAACATCCATATTTGGATGTGAATGTTTTAAAAACTTAAATATTGTGTGTGTGTTTATATTTATGTACGTGTGTTTGTACCTTGTGTTTGTATTTTAATTTTAAGGAAAATCATCTATCGATAAGAAAAAAATAGAGTACACTTGAAAATTGCTGTAATTAAAAAGATATCAAGTTTCACAAATAACATAATGAAAAATCGAAAAAACAATAAATTAATCAGTGTCACAGTCAGACAGGTTTCCTATATCTACAAATTCAATATTTGCCTTAGTTACACTATGATTTAATAACAATTTGGCTTCATCTGAAAGAGGTTTATTACGAATCTGACTCATCTTAGGTCTAAAACTAGACAGGTATGGGTCAGAAGATATTAATAAATTATGGATGATATCCTCATTTGTAGCAATCCTACTGGTCTTACGAGAGTGGAAGGTTCTGAATTTCTTAAAATCTTTGTTCCGTGCTTCAGATGCCTCTTCAGAGAGTTTGCCGATTGGAATAAAATTGTTGTGCTCAATTATTTCAGCACCATGCAGGAGTAATTTATGCACGCTTGCCGGCATATAATACCAAGCATAGAGCTCGACATATCTTCGAGCTGTTGTAGCACAATATTCACGGAACTTTTCCACATCAACATACTCTCCACAAGATATTACTTGAAGAATCACACCAAATCTCTTTATAAGTTCCTCATCCACTCCCGTAATTTGTGCAGTTGCCCCAGGATTTGCAAAAAACCTTCTCGCAGTGTTCCCGTCATTGGAATTCCCTGCACCTTGTTTAACCACGTCCACGAGCAATCCCATTTCAGCTCGAAATTTATCTTGAATGGTTTTTTTGTCTGTCTGTCTGTCTGTCTGTCTGTCTGTCTGTCTGTCTGTTACGCTTTCCCGCTTAAACCTCGCAACCGATTTTGATGAAATTTGGCATAGAGATAGTTTGAGTCCCGGGAAAGAACATAGGATAGTTTTTATCCCGGTTTTTGAAACAGGGACGCGCGCGATAAAGTTTTTCTGTGACAGACAAAAATCCACGCGGGCGAAGCCGCGGGCGGAAAGCTAGTTCTATGATAATACAGTGTGAGTCACGTTAAAGTGTACATATGAAAATAGATTAAACTAGACCTATTTTTATCGACAAAAAAGAGGTAAAAAAATTTTTGAGATTTTTTTTTAATTTTTTATAGAATATTTTTTCTTCAAATTACTTATTGTAAAGAAAACGTAATAACTTTTAAACTAAGCGGTATATCCTGATAAAATAAAAACAGTAATAATGCTAAATAACAGGCAATACTAAAAAAATACATAAAATATACAAAAAATGCCAACAAATAATAAAAAATGATACTTTTTGAAAAAAATCTGCTTAAAAATTCGTATTTTTTTGGTTATTTGATAAAGGATGATGGGCACTTTTCTATGGAATCTGGGCGTAAAACCAACAGAAATGTAACAACTATTATTTGTTAGGACTTAGTATCAGAAATATATTTTCATATAAATAACTACCAAAAACTCCCGGGTTTGCTTGGAAATTGACATAATGTGTAATACTAATAGGTGCTTTATGGCGCAAACAAAAAATATTATTAATTAATATATCTACATTTATACATTAAGTTATTTATCAATTATTATGTCCAACAGTTCAGGAGTGGGGTAACAAAATGGTATATAATATACCATGTTCTACATTATGAGCGTAGGACCATACCTAGGTACCATTTAGAGAAATGATGTCATTTGTCTTTGAAATATGACTGTGTTCATGTGAACACAGTCATATTTCACTGGGATTTCTACCATTTAAGTTGTAGTGTTGTCGCATAATCGATCACGGATCGATTATTAATCGATACTGCCAAATAATGATTTATCGATTAACAATTCGATTAATGGATTTTATTGATCATCATCACTATCATTTGATTGTTAATTCGATTCCTTATTTTCAGCAATATAATCGATTATTGCAATCGAATAATCGATTATGATTTATTCGGTATATACTTACTAAATCGATAGAATCGATAGTAAGATATGANGGCCCACCGTGCGCCGTGTAAGTGGGAAATCGCTGGGTAAGACTGTGGTAGTAAAGGCTTTGGCCGGAAATCGGAATCCCACAGTTCCTTCCCACTTATGGCGAATGACGGAGCACCGGGGTCGTTTTAGTAGGTGTGCCTTCCTTTTGACTTGGTGAGCCCCACATAACCATCTTGCCCCGCAGGGTTGGCTATGTAATTTCATGCATTTTTTCCCCGATAAAAAAAGAGTAGGTACGTATGAGAGATGGGGATAGCAAATGATTATTAACTTCTTAACATAGGTAGTAACTACTATAACATAATGACGAACACAGATTAGAGAGTATGATGACGAAACTAAGGTTTCCTTGTCAGGACTACGGAACCCTAAAAAGCACTACAGAAGAATTTAATGTCATGGGTCACTTATTGTATGATCGCTTAAATACTCCCGTAAATTCCCTATTCTTTCGTTTTCATAATTTATCTAACTACCATTATCCCAACTAATATTATAAATGCGAAAGTAACTCTGTCTGTCTGTCTGTCTGTCTGTCTGTCTGTCTGTCTGTCTGTCTGTCTGTCTGTCTGTTACGCTTTCCCGCTTAAACCTCGCAACCGATTTTGATGAAATTTGGCATAGAGATAGTTTGAGTCCCGGGAAAGAACATAGGATAGTTTTTATCCCGGTTTTTGAAACAGGGACGCGCGCGATAAAGTTTTTCTGTGACAGACAAAAATCCACGCGGGCGAAGCCGCGGGCGGAAAGCTAGTTCTATGATAATACAGTGTGAGTCACGTTAAAGTGTACATATGAAAATAGATTAAACTAGACCTATTTTTATCGACAAAAAAGAGGTAAAAAAATTTTTGAGATTTTTTTTTAATTTTTTATAGAATATTTTTTCTTCAAATTACTTATTGTAAAGAAAACGTAATAACTTTTAAACTAAGCGGTATATCCTGATAAAATAAAAACAGTAATAATGCTAAATAACAGGCAATACTAAAAAAATACATAAAATATACAAAAAATGCCAACAAATAATAAAAAATGATACTTTTTGAAAAAAATCTGCTTAAAAATTCGTGTTCAAACGATCATAGCAAATGTTGTGATAGGGATAGAGACATGCGACTTTTGGTTTTACAAAGATAATACGATAGAAAATAATACAAAGTAATAAAAACCACCGGTTATAGGGGCATTTTTTGGAGAAATTTAAAAAATAACCAAAAAAACACGAATTTTTAAGCAGATTTTTTTCAAAAAGTATCATTTTTTATTATTTGTTGTCATTTTTTGTGTCTTTTATGTATTTTTTTAGTATCGCCTGTTATTTAGCATTATTACTGTTTTTATTTTATCAGGATATACCGCTTAGTTTAAAAGTTATTACGTTTTCTTTACAATAAGTAATTGGAAGAAAAAAAATTCTATAAAAAATTAAAAAAAAATCTCAAAAATTTTTTGACCTCTTTTTTGTCGATAAAAATAGGTCTAGTTTCATGTATTTTCATATGTACACTTTAACGTGACTCACACTGTATAATAGCCATTGATAATTTATATTAAACATTATGTATAACTTGAGTAGGTATGTACTTAATACATAGGCGAACCATTTCAAAATTGCACTTAAGAAATCATATCATGGCTACTTTAGGTATTGATTACTTAGTCAAGAGTTTCGTTCGATTAAATTATTTCTTACGAAAAGGGGAAAGATTTAGCGAATTCGTCAAACTGTTGTTATTTTTGTTATGAAGCCAATACCATAGAGAAAAGTAATACATAGGAAATAGAGAACCCTCTCTGTCAAATTTTTGAGCCTACTAATTGACAGCCTGGTGTTAAATTCGCTGTACTTAACCTACGTACGTAACGCTCACATACACACATAGTACACGCACACATACATACATAAAGTCCACGCACACATACACACAGTTCACGCACACATAGGCCCTCATAACCTTCAAGAAATATTGTTTTTTTGATGTACACTGTAGAATTTTTTCAAATCATTATTTTGAAAGTATCAGTCTTTACAGGAGAATGTTTTGGACTGTTTAAGGCTTTAGAGTATGCTCTCCTTATGAAATTAAACAAAACTGTAAATTTTGTGACTCTAAAAGTGCTTTGCAGGCATTACATAAATTTCCATTTAAGAACAATACTAATTATCCTATTATTACAGAATGCAGGAAATTACTTCACAAATGTAGTCTTAACAGTCATTTAATTAATTTTGCGTGGATTCCTAGTCATACCAATATTCCAGGAAATGATAAAGCTGATAAGCTGGCCAATGAAGCGGTTGAGTGTGGAGATATACATCCGTACACAAATTATTGCCATGACTTAACGGCAGCCCTTCCCAAAGCTTATCTCAAATCTGCCTGGGATGAGAATTGGGAGTTCACTAGCCAATCTAAGGGGAAACATTACAAGCTCATTCAACCATCCATCCTTTGTAAACCATGGTTTGTTAAAATGAATCTTTCCAAAACAGTTACTACCATTTTAACTAGAATGCGACTTGGTCACGTGTGCACTCCAGCACACTTGGCTAAAATTCATGTACTTGATAATGATTCGTGCATTTGTGGTTCTGGCGTCGGAGACTTAAATCACATATTTTTTTACTGTTGCCTATATGATCGTTTCTCTTTTATTAGTTCTCTTTTAGCCATTAAAATTCCTTTTCCTACATCCATCACTTGCCTATTATAATTATACCAATAACATTGATGTTTATAATATCCTAGCCGAATTTATTACCCATAATAATATAAAATTGTAAATAGTAATGTATATTGTACTTATGTAAATATTATTTTATTTTTATTATTTTGTAATTATATCACACCTAAATTGATCCTATGAAAACCATCCTTTGTTCCGTTTCCATCCGTAATTGATTCGTTTCCCTACCTTTTAACTTTAACCCAATCCCACCCTGTCTAAACGCAATGTCCGCAAAACTTATGGCAAAACTGAACGCAAAAATCAAGAACCCTGTCGTGGCTAAACACAATCCGCGACAGCCATAAAGAAAAAAAAAAGTATTGGAATTTATCGACTGAAGTCGCTGTTTGGAAGCAAGTTTGATCGTAGTATGGAAGTTTCCGTACCCTGGCCAATACCAATACCAATTTTTGTACCAAGGTTTCGTAAACAATTTTCACAAACATTTCTCTTCCATTTTACTTCCACAGCTTTCAACTCAACCGCGCCGAAAGCTCGCAAATCGATTCGTATTTTAGAGGCTTCCCAGTCTTCGGCATTCGAGGGCAAATTAAAAAGCGTCGGTTCGTCTGTCTCATGAAACTTAAGCAGAAAAGAGCGAGGATCGTATTGATCGATGCTATTTATAATTCTATCATTCATATTTTATTACTGTAAGTGGTAAAAAAGAGCAATATGGGTGGAAACGATAATTGATCTCACTCGATTATTTCTAAAGTATAATACAAGATTATCAAAAAGAGCTCGTGAAGAACTTTCAGGATCAGTAAAAATCTTTTCGATATCTTCTATAGTTTAGAAATAATTGAGTGAGATCACTATCGTTTCCACCCTGAAAAGTTCGTATTTTAACGTCACAACCTGTGGTCAGCACAATTTAACTTTTTGAACATCAATTCTACCCCTACTTCGGAACAACAGTAGAGCAAGAGACCAAGAAACCCGGAGCAGTTTTTATCCTCTTTTTCATTATAAGTAGAAGATTGAGTTCTCTTACAAAGGAGTTGCTATGTTAAGGAGTGAGACGCAATACTTATTGAGTAAAAGTACAA